AGCGCACACATCTCGGTCATTTGTATTTCAAAAACGTGAAAGAATACCAATATTAATTTCCTCAAGCTAGTGATGACAGCCCAACGAGAGCCGGCCGAATTGGCTTGACCCGATCGAGACCCACTCACTCGCGATTCCACTCCGTCACGGCTTTTTCCGAAATATTTCTTAAAAACTGCAAAACCGGTTGCGAACTGATGTCATCGAATCTTATAAGATCCTGACAGAATAATATAAACACGACCTTGACAACCTCGACTCACATCGGCTGAGGTTACCATCTCTTCCAACACTTCTCTGCAGCATTCCTCTCCCCCTCGCATCTCCTCGAACGCCGCATCCACTTTCTAGTAGAGGAACACATATACGATACGAAAATAAAATGACTCACGCTTTCGACGTCAGCCATAAACGTGACGAAAGCTGCACGGAGCTCGGTCGTGTTGTCGCTACAATGGCGATCACCCATCTTGGACAAGGCCTTGATCTCCTCGGTGAAATCACCAACCTGCCACCGCAAATTCCTCTCACTTCAACGAGCGTCACTGCTGATCACCAGAGAGCGCAGTTGGTGTAGCGTCAGTCTAATGCTACGAGCCATCATGGATGTACACGCCTTGCCCAAGATGGATGCTGCTACCGGACCTGCCACAACAAGGGCTTCCCTTTAGAGAATAGTCATTGCAGTCGACTCCCTCCCCCACCTCCAACTCTGCCTCGGCCCATCAAGATCCCCATCTCCTTCTCCCAACACTTCAACGACATACTCCGAAGAGCCTCCACCCAGTGAATGCCGTAAAGTGCAGAGGCGACCTTAGAGGATATCAATCGTGGTAAAAACAACCCTCCGGGCCTTCCTCCCTTACTAAACGTACATTGGCAAAACAAGGCAGCGTCCGTAGCTCTATCAGGTCCTTATCAGTGATGGTAGTCCTGGACTTCCTCCTACCGTCCCGTCCAACTATAGCACGCACCTTCCACTTACCGTATCTACGAACAACTACAACAACAGTAATAACGGCTCCACAACGAGTTCTCATGGATACTAATAAGGCCAGAACTTGATCATGCGGAAACGGCAGCTATCCGACCATACTTCCGTCCGCATAATCACGACCTTGTCTACGGCCCTCAGCAACCTACACTGCCAGACCAGCCAACCTCGCTGATGCAGCCAAGCAATTCACTGCATCACCACAGCTCGAGGGCAGGATGGACGCGAAACCCTCCTCCAGCGAGGACCTACGAGGCTACCCTTATGCGCGTTCGAGGAGCTCACTGATCACCTCACAATATCGCAAGTATGCATGTCACCCCCATCTGGCAGGTTGAACCCGGACAGTCTGTCCACACAGTTGCCAATGACCCACAGATCCTCTGGCCTCAGACAACCGTCTCCTTCAATGCCCTTCAAGAGCTTCATCAGCGATGGGAAATCCCCAGCGTTCGGATGTCGTGATGCATCAACGACTAGTACCTGCTATTGCAAGACTCTATCTACCGCAGTGCCCTCACCTGCCCACCATCCCATCTGACTGCCGCGCCTGCAGTCGAACCATCTGCGATATCGAATTGGCATCAAACAACCTCCCATCTGGTGACGGGGAATCGACTAGTATCAGCTCGCCGAGACGGTCGGTGTCATGAGGCGCTACCACACATCGGGCAAATCTCCACAACGCTGGTCGTATTACCCAGAGCTGTCACTAAACGGCCGAAGTCTGTGAATACGGACAGAGCCATCTCAGGATGAAGGAGCACTCTGGCCTGTTGGTCTCCGACTATTCCTTTCTCTCGAGCTCGCCAGACGATGCCATTCACTCGTTGCAGTAGAGCATTCACCTCCTCCACCTGAGCGTCGGACCTCATCCGATAAACAGCCGATATACGTGGCTTCACCCACCCCCTCAGCTGAGCAGGGCAGTGGGGTCGTCGGGAAAAGGTTATTATCCCTCCCTCCCAGTGTTGTGACCAACGAGGCTTCCCACTCCTGCAGATGCTCATTCAACTGCAGCGGCATGATGATCCTCGGTATGGCCAACGCCGGCGAGTGATGCCATTCAACCGTCACTATCAAGACCACTCACTTCACAAGGACAGGACGCCAGTTCGACTCACATGCAGACCGCCCGACCACCGCTTCCAATGGGAAGTCGGCCAAAGCCGCCACCAAACTGGTCCGTCCAGACTGGCATGGACCGAAGAACAGCAGCCTCGTCTGGCAACAAATATTCTCAACAGGAACACTTCGGAAAGTCTGGCGGCACCTACTCTGAGATTGTCAAGCCGACTCGACAAACTGTGTAGATCTTCCAGGTACTGCCGAGCTGTGTTGAAGGGGAGCCTTCGGGGAGAGAGCTGATCGATGTCGAAGTAGTTATCCAAACACACAGAC